AACCAACATATCTTCCTCAAAGATCAGGTCCCACTTCTAAAATGAATGTGGGTATTCTTGTGACTCAGGATGCTAAGAAGCAATACTCACCTCTGCAGACTTCAAAATAGTTTTATGTGAAACAGTAAGACTTCTTTGATTCCTTGCATACAGAACTTGACCTCTGTTGCCCATATTTCTGGGGCAGTGAAGGCCTTACCTGACACCAAGATGAGGAGAATTTACCCCAGGAAGTGCAGTCAAACAAACAGAGCATGATTTGGGAAGGACTATAACTAGAGGTTATTTTAGAAAGGTTTTCTAGCTTTGTTTATGAAATGCTTTTAACATTAGATTAGAACACATTTAAGAAATATTTTATGGACATAAACTTTTTGACATGAATAAAGCTGGTTGGCTACAGAGCCAATCTGTAACTATCTTTTTCCTCTCTAAATTTATGTACAACTTTCCATGGGATCTGATATAAGCTGAATAGAACAAAGTTTGCTTTATTGGAAAAGCTGTGCGTAGCAATCAAGTCTTCTAGAGGCACAGAAACCAGTTACCTGCTTATGTTCATATAAACCTTGTCTGAAATACAGCCCTGGAACTGAACACAAATATCAGTAATATTACTACATTTTTAAAAGAGCTTCAGGCCTAATGAAATGTGCCATGAGGTGCCTTGTTTCTAAATGTATTTACTTCGGTTATTTTATGTTTATTTTGTTTTTATTAAAAACAAAAGTGCCTTTTTTTTTTTTTTTTAGTAAACAAAAGTGTCAGTTCTCATGCGAGGTTCAAGCCACAGGTTCAAGCAGTTGCATTTTGCAAAAAAGTTTCAATTTCAAGTATGTTGGGTGCTTAAGCATCATTGCTCATTTCATAACCGCTTGTCAGATTTCATCAGGTCTGACTTTCACACTCTGGCTCCAGGCATGTATTATACAAAGAGAAATTGCTTTATCCTGAGCAACTCAAATAGGCATGTCCCAAGGCAACTCTGCTGCCCAGGCACAGGGCTCTGCTCCTGAGAGGTGCGAAGGCACAAGGCAAAGCCCCTGGCTCAAAGCAGTAAGCCAGGGATGCTGGAAGGAAAGATCTGCCGTAGAAGAGCTTGCTGCCACTGAAAGTAACTCGCCTTTCGGCCACCTCTTCCCTCACAAACTTTCCTGCTCCCAGCTGCAGTTCTGCTGCTTACCTGGCTCTGCCCCTTGTCACACCTCTGCGCTGGCCAGTTCAACTCACTGAGTGTGGAAAAAATAAATCAAACGAGTAGAAGAATTTTCTCCCCAACCCGCGGGTGTGATGACTTCACTGAGGGCTACAGGGGAGGGAGCAGGGCTGCGTGGCTGGGAGGAAGGACAAGCAGAAGGGGTGCAGAGGAGGAGGAGGAGCAAGCCTGGCCCTCCTCCAAAGCACCAGGCCATGAGATGGCCTTCCCTGGACCACATCTCTAGAAAGAGGGACAAGACAGGCACATAAACCTCTCATGGAGGACACATGCCCTACACCAAAGATAAGGTGCACACAGAGAGTCAAGAAATGGCGTCTTTTTTTTTTTTTTTTTTTTTTTTTTTTAAAAAAAAAAACCTCCTCCGCTTTTTTTAAAAAAAAAATCCCTTGCAAGTTTAGTTCCCCAGCCCTCCCATACGAGAACTTATCCTTGTGGAAACTTGTTTAAACATATCCAGAATGCCACTCCCTCACCACATACCTCCCTCGAAACCCTCCCTTTAAAAAAAGGAAGAAAAAAGAAAAAAAATGCAAACAATTTACAAGTTCAGATTGATTTCAGCAGTGTCAGCTAACTAGAAATGACAGCTTTTTTTGGCAAACAAAGCACTTTCTGGGGGTGAAAATAAAAAAGCCCAACTGACAGCAGTTCACATACTATAAATTGCTCTGCAAAGGGTTTTCACACATACTAATGCTCGCTTCTATCTCCTGCCTCAGCACTCTATAGATAAATCATTAAAACACATGGAGCTGCCCTAAAATTACGGTATAGAATAACTTCTCCCTTCTCTACTGTTTGCTCTTCAATCATCCATGCCATCTTAAAATGAGGCATCTTTTTCCTCCACAGTTGTAAGAATTCTACCCTTATTCACTCACTCATACTAATTCTGTACAAATATTTGTTTAGTTTCCTTAGCTCTGGAACTCTGAGCAATTTGCTCTGTAAATTGGTTTTCCATATTTAGGGGTATATTTTTAAAAGTGTTTCATCGGATTTCTTTTCCAGGATAAGCTTGTTACTAGCCAAGCGGTTAAGCAGCAAGCGCACAGTCTTGCCATGTGGGAGGTCAAGTTATCCAACCACAGCAGCACCAGGAAGTCCAACATACAGCCACAAGGGTATGGCAACCTCTTGGGCAAAATGAATCATTCTTCCAAAAAATTCCCTGGGAGGGACTTGTAGGAGTGGCAGTTAGTGGCTTTGGAGAAAGTCAATCACTTCCCTTCGGTACAGTTAAAGCTGCCAGTTTGGCACAAGGTATAACTGGACATGCTTAATACAGGAGAATATGTGGGAAAAGGCATTCAAATATATGCTAAGTAGTTACAAAACTGGAAGTAAATGTGGATAAACTATTACCACCCAAGTTATATAAAGTCAGTGATTTATAGGAAATTCTGTTTTGCTTTTGCCTGGATGATGCCACTAAGCACCAGACAGACTATTACCATGTGACCCTCTGTGTGCTGAGAATTTCCATTTTCCACGCACTTTTATTTTTAGACTTATTAATCTCCACAATATTCTGAACAGATAAATAGCACTGATTAACTTCTAAAAAGAGGGGAGGTGTCAAAAAGAAACTTTAATGTTTTTAATTCCAGGTATGCACTCCTGATAAAAATTGTGCTTGACTTTTGAAAACCTCACCTACTGCAGAAACTAGCTGATTTTCAAAAGCACTGCCTTGGAAGGTCAGGTTCAAATTGGACAAACAAACATCAGAAATTATTTTGAAAACTCTGATCATAAAACTGACTCACTCTGCCAAAGGAGACGGAATCGTGTTAACAACTGGATTAGAATTTAAGTGTCCCTGGTTCCAAATCCCTGCTCAGATTAATAAATACCTTTTCTTCTTATCTAAAATATTAATTCAAGTTCTGAGTAAGCAAAAGGACATAGAACAGCTAAACCCTCTAAGATTACCTACTAATTCAAAGCAATGCATTTTTTTTCTCTGCTTTAATTTGAAGCTGATCAGGTGATCAGAAACTAAGCATCAGTACTTGGTAATTCTGTAAACATCACAGTCTTTCTCACGAAGCTTAATTTAGAACAATTTGTTCCCATTCAGAATAAAATGCATCTGACTTAGCTGCTTCTAAGCAGAAAAGCAAATACAGTGTGTCCCTCTATCCACTAATGCTTAGAATATAATACATACTCCAGCAATTTCCTATTATAAAGGAATATTTGCACTACTTGCACATGTTGCAAATTTATCCCTGAGGAATGACAGATCTAGTGAAAGGACACATATATTTATTATACTGAATACTCCAGGTAATGCTGGCCTATGATATCAAGCCAGCAAGCTGAATAATGGCCCTAGCATAATTATGTAATTAATTAGCTCTATCATAATTTTTGTTTTATGACACTAACTTTTATATGCCAATAGCCAATTTAATAGCATTTGAAATTGAACTAAGGCCCCTGAGAGAGATGCTACTTACTGTATCACAAATCTTGTATCCCAATTTATCTTAATTTCAAAGATGACCTAATAAAATTGTTCTATAATTAAATCCATTCTAACAACCTCTCCTATGTGGTTCTTTTATTCCTCCCCTTTTTAATTATGAAAAAGAATCCAATCAGAAAACACTTGTCACCATAATTGTACATAAAAATCAGAGACTTTCTTTTAGTACCTCTTCCTGGCCCCCCTTACACAACAGCAAACTCCAGCCAGCTTTCGGCAGAATTTTACCAGCATCCCCCAGAGGTACAAAGATGAAACTGCACCTTTTCCATTCAAGAAAATCAAATCTGCTCATATCTCAACTGAAAAATATTTGAGGTGGGGACGGGAAGGAAAGCAAATCCCCAGATGCAATCTGTTTCAGATAGGCATTTTCAAATATTTTAATACTATGAGATGCAACATGTCAAGTATTGGATGTAAATGGAAAGGATGCAAACATTTCTTTTGAATTGATCAAGTTTGAGCAATTCCGAGGTAGTTGTTCCTCCCCTTTTCATTGAGGAGACTCACTTCAGGAAACTTCCCGCCCTGTTCCTCCTGCCCCTGCAACTACTTCTACCTGCTCCGTACCTCAGGGACTGCCAGTCTTGCCACATAGGAGGCTTCCTAATGCACCCAGACCAAGACAGGCAGCTCTACAGGCCCTCTGCCTTGGTGTCCAAGCTAAGGAGCACAGGTGGACAGGGCCACCTTTACCCACAACCACCCCAGCACCCATTTCCAGATGAGTAAGAGTAGAAGGCAGTAAAAGAACTATAGTGAAAACTGCTTTCATAAAGCTTCCTCTGTAGAGTGAAGGGCTGTTTTCATCTGGAAAATCTTAGAAATAGTAACTCTGGATGGAGGAGGGAGCAGGACTAGATGATCCCATCCTGAAGTGATGTTGATTATTGTATTTAAGATGTCCTGAACATACATAGTACTTCATTGTATGTGAAGCATGCTAAATGCAGAACCAAACTTTTGCCTCTGAAAGACCCGTCAGTTCAACCGCTGATGTCTGGGGAATTAATTAGTGTGAGAACCTGGCATCATACAACTGTTAAAGAATGCTTGACATTAATAGATAGTGCTGTTTAACAAATTAAAAGAATTTAATTTTCCTACCAAAATGATCATACTCTGTTTAACTTCTGTTTTCTAGAAAACAATGTAACAATAGAAAGATATGAAGTGTAAATGGCACTTAATACAGTTTGAATTTAAGTTTCTCTCTGATACACAAAAAAATTCTTTTAAATTGCAAACAAGGTGAAAGTAATAAAATTAGCATCGACCTCTTACCATTTGCTGTGTTCTTTTTGAAGTTATCCAGAAACTCCTCCAGGAGCTGTGACTGGTTTGGAGGGGGCAATAAACTTTTGGGGTCCTTAGAAATGTCACCATCTGACCATGAAGTACATAATGGTTGCTGAGCTCCATAATGATTAATTCTCAGTGTAAGCATTACACTTCTCTCCGAAAACAGTAACTCCATCTGTCTGAGGTCAAGATCAGACACAGCCTCTCCATTTATGCTCAAAATCTCATTGCCTACTCGTAACCCTAGAAGCATGTGAAAGGAAAGCAAAGGGGGAAAAAAAAAAGGAGAGAATATTAAATGGAAAGGTCACAAACTAAATGTTATGTTGTTTCATTTTTTTATTTTTGTGTTCAAATAGCTTAATCCTACAATCAGTCCATTAGACTTGATAGGAATTTTATGTGTGCTGTAATTACACAATTGGGTCATATGCTTATTTTTGTAGATGTTACACATGATACCACAATCAAGTTGTGTCTTTTATAGCTACTATGAGATGGAGGCAATCTTCAGATAACACTCAAGAGACCCCCCTCAACACTCAGACACACCAAGATCATAATAAAAGACAGCGTATCAGCATATGCCACCATAGCTCATATTTTGTTATCCCAGTCTGGGAGGCACCAGGAACTAGTCAAGCATATCAAATCATTCTCATAAAACTGGAATACTAACAGATGAAGTTTTTATGAGCTTCTGAATAAGTCTAAACAGTGGCAACTGCTGTCTTTCAAGATCAGCAGCAACGAAGGGGTCATTTCCCTTAGGTATGTGATTAATCTATCTCTGCTGTCAGAAGTCATATGACCTTGTTGTGGAGATGAAGAGAAAAATGAAAGCGATGGGTCCCAGAGACCAACCAAACCCAGAAGATGAACAATTTCTTCAGACAAGAAAAAATTACTTTTCTTCTTTCTCTGTGCAAAAGCCATTAGTTGCATTGCTGAGAACAGAATTTGTTAAAAGGATAAACTTTTAAATTACCTTTTCTATACTACATACTTTCTACAGCATTCAGGAAAGAGAACTATGACTAGTCAAAGCCAAGAACTATTTCAGACAGTAATGTCAAAGCTCCTTCATGTTTTGGAATTAAAGAATAACCAAGAACTGTATTACTTACAAATGCAGTACTTACCTTCCTTGTATGCTAGTCCATCAGGGAGAACATCACTTATAAGTATATGAGTGAGATGTCGATTTTCATCAACTTGAGCTGTGACAGCAAAACCTGAATGGAAGAAATTTAAAGGTAGAGCACAATAAAATAAACAATCATAATGACAAGGTCAATAAATCACCACTGATTTCAACAGGCATGGAGACAGTCCTAAATTCCCTATTCTATCTGTCTGTCTCCCTCTCTCTCACACACTAATACAGTATTTTATCTATCTGAATTATCTTTTTTTTTTTTTTTTTGGTTTACAACTCTGCTCATATTTCTCATAACACTGTTGAAAAAGATTCATGTTTTGCAAGAAATATAATTTTTTGTTGGTTTAAGTGCCCCTGCATGTAAAAAAAAAAAAAAAAAAAAAAAATCCTTTCAGCATTTGTACCAGACTGTTGATATTATTTCAACAGAGCATCCCACTACTAAAAAGGAGGCAGTCCTTAGCCAAGATCTGAATAATGATATTTAATTTGGCAAGGGACATTTGTCCTCTGAAAAGTTCAAACTTAATAATTTGGCCCAAACAGCAGAACTAGAAAGTACATTTTCCCAAACAGAGAAATAAAAAATGCATTTGTCAGTGTAAAACAGACAGAGAAGTCTCTGCTATATTAGCTCAAGTCCTTTGTAGACTTTGAGCTGTCACTGATGGCTCTGCCTGCTCTTGGAAATCCCTGGTTGCTGTTTTGGTTCAACTTACCAAAATCACTTATATTTTCAGTCTTTGTAAGATGAACATGATAAACACTTAATGGACAAATTTCTATTTCATCATACACCTGTTAGAGAGAGAGAGAGAGAGAGAGAGAGAGTCAAATTACAAAAGTGTAAGCAATAAAACCACACTATGATCACTAAAGAGCCCAAACATGAAGAAGATTTTTACTATGCAAGCATCACTAAAATCAATGGGACTAAAAGCAGAGTAAACTAAACATGCAAAATCCGGCTTGGAGTAGAAACTGACATTTCATGTTTGTACCACAAGTCCCACTAAAATCATCAAACAGTTCCTGAAGAGAGTGTTTGTAGTGCCTAGCAATCTGAATCTCTTCACAGCTATGAATTCAGCTCTCTGTGAATAAGGATGGCAGAATGCAATCCAAGAACAGCTTTGAAATCTTATTTTAGATCTAAATCACACACATTCATAGGTGATAATTCAACTGTAGCTACAAACATCAAGGAGTCTTATCTAAAAGGAGACACACTTTCCTGGTCTACTATGTATTCATATGGTTCAGGAGCACAGTACTCAGTATTTTCATCAACCAGTCTTCTGAGTTGCAAGCCATAGTGCCTTGGCTCCAGCTGTTTCATCTATGGAATAAAAAGATGGATTTTTGGAATCGATTCTTTAGTTCTAGCACCCCAGATGACGAAGTCACAAATGCACACATACACAGAGCCCTTCAGAAGTCATGCAAAAGCAGACCTCAGAAAGTCACTTTCTAACTGTTTTTGTAGCAGAAAAAATCCAGATGCATTGTTTAAGTAAAATTTCCAATTTCTCTTAAAGCCCTCCCCCAAATTCCTTTACAAGCAGCATGTCTCAACTCTTAGATTAATATAACATATAATTATATATACTTGTAACATGCTATATATTTCCAGGTATATTACAGCTCTATTTTGTCCTTTTGAACTTGTACCTCACAGTCATTTTTGATATGATTATTCTCAATGACTCATTTCTGCCCTTAAATTTATTCTTCTGATGTAGAAAATATATTTGTACATATGGGCTGCTAGGCAAGGATTGGGATAGGAAGGAGATTCCCTATGGAATAGTTTGTCTTTATCGGACTTTGTTATTGTCAGGTTTCATCTATGATCAGAGAGTTTCACATATTTTTTCACTGCTTGACGTCCAAATAAAAATCCAGTTTCAAAAGGAAGTCAAAAGGAAATGGGACTACTCCCAAAGGATATTTGTCTGAAAACTCCAAACCCCTGATGGGGGTCTCTGAAAACCAGGAAGCTGATGAGACTACTGCACAAAGTATTTCACTTTAGCATACTAACACAGCAATTCTGTTAAAAACAGACAGAGAAAAAAAAAAAAAAAAAGACATATCCTTTAGGGTTATTGAAACACTTTAATAGATCTCCGCAGCTTTAAAAACGTAAATCTACTGATTAAGTAGTGTTTAGATTAACATTTTACTATGTAAAATGGCTGCATTTATACTATAGCAAAATTATACAAAGTTATAGTTAGTAAAGTTAGTAAAATAAAGTTATAGTAAAATGCAAATTTTTTTTTGTTTGTACTACTCAAAAGCAATAGATGGAGAACAGAAGAGAGAAAAGTAGAAACCCCATCAATGGTATGGATGAAAAAAAGGAATCAACCCTTAAAACTTTATCCTTATATATATAACATTCAAACATATTCTCTTAAAGAAGAAAGATTCCTTACACTCACTAGAGAAGAATGAAAATGTAAGAAGGAAAAGAATCAGGAAAGATGAGCAGAAAGTATTCAGCATTAGAGTATGCTTATGAAAAGCTTTACATGTAGAATAGAAAAAAATAAAACAGAAAAAAATCAAATAATTTAAAACTAAATAAGCTTTACAATTACAGATTTTTCTTTGAATGATGGAGTGAGAGAGGTAAGAAATTTCCTTTATAACTTAATTTTCTGTTTGTAAACTGTATTTCCTCTTTCTGTAGTTCTACGTTATGGTAAATATTTCCAAAAATTTCAGCTCCTCTCTGCCATCTGGTGGTTACATACTGTTTCAAAATTCCTTTTTTGTGACAGGTACAATCAATTTTTAAAAAATAAAACTAGGGAATAAATGGTTTCTCCAGCATCTTGTCTACTCAGGAGAGCAATGATAAGATCAGTTCTTCTCAGTGACATTATGCAGATATATTGACATGGCTAAATCAGCATACTTGCTTCGATATATAAACCACGGTTCATAGTATCATTTCATAACTATGGCCTTTTCTTCATTAGAAGCCTCATAACTCATTAACTTCACACTATTTGTATTAACTCACCTGAAATTTCCACTAGTCTAAGCAACAGTTGCATTTTATACAGTCAGTCTCCTTGTTTTCTCTCCTAGTTTTCTCTTCTTGTGAAATTTACTTTTTTCTTAAAGTTTTATAACTCAAAAGTGATTTGATTCATGAAGTCAGAGTCAAAATCATTAAGTGACTAAGACAAAGGCACCATTAGCTGTGATGCTCTAGAGCTGCTGATCACTCCTCCGTAGTTAAGATCACCTTTAGCCACTGATTCAGTTCTGTCACAAGAGCTACAGCAGTCCCTCCTCAAATCTATGGCACTGCCTTTCACAGCAGAATGCATGCTTTAAAATTTAGAAGCAAAACTGAAATTTAACTAATTAAAAATAAAAAATTGTGTCTGTTAGGAAACCAACCTATATGACAGTCTTTGTCACAGAGATATCAAATCTCATATATCAACCTTATGGTCCTTAACTCAACCAATCACTGTAATTCCTCTACGACTAAATTGTGCAGAACGACCCACTTTGCTGGAACAACAATGTGGACTGGACACATGCTGAGCTTTCCCAAGACCAGATTACCTGGCAGAGCTTCACAGCTCCTTAAAGATTCTTTGTGTGCTCACTGTCTTGAGCAATACAAATCAAAACGTTTTCCATGATCCTGCTACCTTAACTACAATACATAAGCAACACTGCTAAAGGAAATAGAGCAAATACTCAAAGTATGTCTTGATACAGGGACAGGGAGACCCTGGTATTATGCTGTCACTTTTGAGGCATCCTCAAATATATTATACCCCTTCCACATCCCATATATTCTTCCACATCCCACAACTATTAACAACATGCAGTCATGCCTGAAAATTGAATACCTTGCATGCCAAAGATAAAACATCTTCCACTCTGTGTTCTGGCTTGAGGGTTAATGCCACTCCTTGGCCATCACAGAAATGAACGTAGGTTTGTGTTTCCCAAGCATTCTCCTTCTGGATGCTCTCTGGCACTGAGCAGTAGATGTTCAAGAGTTCATCAACTTGCTGCTGAAAATAAGGGAGAACTTGAAAACTTGTGGATATTGAACAAGAAAAACGCACAAATATAAGAAGCAGAATTATATTGACAGTCTGCAGAGGGTTTGAACCACCACATTTTTAGACATGGTACTATGTGTTTCTCATTGCAGGAAAGGTAACAGTTACCATCATCGCTGCCTTGCAGTACAGAACTTCTTCAGAACTGCTTACATTTCCATGACATTGCCATTATGGGCTTTCACATCTTTATCCCATATAAATTTTTGATTTTAAGTGAAAATACATAGCTACTGTATATTATATCTCAGTGGGTACATTTTCTTAAGAACTGACTTCTACAATTTTAGCTAACTAACAGATAAAAAAACCCAAAGATTGCTAAAATTTTGTCAGAAAATGATGATGTAGTAAACTTCCAGCAGAGAGCACTGTAGAGCAAGGCTTGCAACAGCAAAATAAAGGACCACAATGGGAATAAATTGTTCCTACTCTATTTACAGTTGAAGATCACGTTGTCTTACAGGTAAAGTATTTGCTTGCTTAGCATTTCGGGTTGCATTCTCCCTCATTCAAAAGCCACTCAGCTTGATCTAACTCAACATCCATCCCAAATAAAATCCTTGTTATTTTCTCACCCTTCCTTTTTACACTTTCCTCTGTAATGCACTTCAGGCTAGACATTTCAAAGGCTGCCACACAAGGAGAAAATCACTGAGACCTGTTCTGAACTAGGACTTTCCCCTATATATTTGGGTTCACCTATAGGACACATCACTGCCCACATCAAGTCATTTAGATTTACACACACAGCCTCCTGAATTCCCTTTACAGCCAGTGGAAAGGGGCAATAACCTATTAAAGTGGAAGGACTGTGACTCATGCCACATCTTAGGCTGAATTGTGCCCATCTCTGTGAACACACTGCTGTTTTCTTGTTGTTGAGGGCGTTGCATACACATATGCTGCAACTCTTCCTCCTGACTCTGCAGGGACGCAAGCCCAATGGTGCAATGCAATTAAAAGCTCCAATAAAATCACTAAACAGCAACTGTTTCCTCCCTTGCCGCAGGCAGCAAAGTTATTGACAACAATCTATCAGTAGCTACAAAGCAACCAATATTATTTTTGTTTTCCAAAAAATGATTGTGGCTGCAAAAATGACAGAGTAAGCAGTCCTATTTGAGTAATTACTGAACAATGCAGAAATTCAGGTTGCAGCCGAACAAGAGTATGGCCCTATAATAATTTTATTCAAGAGTAACACTGGTTTTGTGAGAAATACAATACTCAGCTAATGGCATTAAAGAAACACATTCCTATTGCCCAACTACTCATTGTAACTAGCTTGGAAATGAAATATTAATTAGTCTTGGCCCATGAAATTCCCACCAATGTACAGCCATTCCTATAAAGGAAACCTGTTCTGTTGCTGCAATTCAGGGAGTGCTAAAATTTACAGCAGGTGAAGCCTCACCTCAAGGGCTGTTGTTCCAGTGTGCTCATAAAACTGCTGTTGTTTAAGAAAATAATTCCGGCAGAGCTGTGGTCCTCTTAGAAAGCACTAAATCAAGCATCTGGAAACGCCGTCCAAAGTGTAAATGACATATATGGAAAAGGCCAAGGTGCATATGCTGCCAGAGTTAAGGGGCAGCGAGTCAAACTGTTAATTCTCTTTTGGCTTCCTTCAGGGAAAACTGAAGCTATATTGCCTGAGCTGGGAAGATGCTTCCAGCAATTCAGGGGTTTGCAATTACCAGAATGGTTTATTGTACTGCAATAGTAGCCCTTCAAGTCTGTCCAATAGAAATAAATCTCACTATTACCATAGATAGAAAAAAAAAAATCCATAGAGGATGAAGGTGATGGAAAATAGGCTTAAGGCCACCTCCTTCCTTCTTGAAGCCTTTAAGCGCAAGATAGACAGTTCTTCAACCAAGCTGGTTTCATTTCTTTGTTGTTTACACTGGTGCTAAAGCAAAAACTTTGAGATAAATTCATCTCTCCCTTTATTAAACAAAAATATTTTCCTAATGTTAGTCAAAATACTGTTGCTTTATCCACATTTTCCATCTCAGAAAATCTGCCATGAAAAGAGATTTTTTTTCCTGTTATGTGACTAATACTACAATAGTTCATTCATTCATTGCCACATAAAGTTCTAGCAACCCATCCAATTTTCCAGCAAAAAGCGCCAGGTTTTGCAGACTGTCACACGTCGTGCCACCGTGTTGCCTAAGGACCGATAGGTTACTTCATAATTTCCCCCACTCTTTGCCTATTTTTATCATCGTTTTCTTGGAAAATTTAGCCTCCTGGAAGACTACAGTATTTGTAATCCACTCTGCTCCTCAGGTAGCATTTTTTAAAAGTTTTTATCCCAATTTTGCTTTTTATTCAAAATCAGCCAATGAAACAGGGCAGATTCCAGCATAACCGTTTTCTGTGTTATGATGAATCATTTCTGAGTTCTGACTTGTCATACGACTCATCAAAATGTCAGTATCTTAAAAATGCCCATGCTATATTTATTTTCCATTAAAAATGGTCTAGAAATAAGGTGGAGACCCAAAGCTCCACTTCAGTACCTAAAATCCCATTTTTTAGCCTTCAAAAGCAACCATGCTACAGTCTGGAACCCAACCATCGTACGTGTCTGGAATCCGAGTGACCCCAAGCCTGGCCTCAACACTGCAGCAGCGTTGCCCTCACATCGGTGTCCCCTACCCAGGGACTGGGGCTCCCAACTGCTGCCCAAACTCGGGTCTTTTTTTAATCCAGCGTGAGCTACCCTAGGGGACCAAAGCCCTACGGATGGCACTCGCTGAGCTAGGCGGCACCGTGAGCTTGTTCACCTGGTGGGTGCTGGCACTGACCCTGAGGGGCTCCTTTGACATTGCTTCAGTAGGAACCTCCAAGCGTAGCACCTGAGAGACTCCCGTCCTCAGCGGTAGGAAGGACAGACTCTTTTCATGGCTTAACAGGACCTGACAGGAATGAACTGTATTTGCTGTATTTGCTTTCACTGCACCTAGAAATCCCATATAATTACATTTTATTTTTAAAAGAGAGGGCTGTTTTTTTAATGCATACTTTCCCACCCCATTCCTTGGCAAAGCAAATGGAATAGGGCACAACAGGTAGCTAAACGAACATAACATTTTGGTTATTTGCATTTGTTTTGTTATTTGCTTGGAAAATTTTCTTCAAAGTACACTCAAAAAGAAAAGCTCTCTTAGGAGGCAAAATGGCATTAGGTTTAGCTGCAATCAGTGGGAGAAATCTTTCACAGTGGTACATGTTTTGCTTTATTATCTTGCCATTAAGTGAATACTGATAGGAAAATAAATCATGCACTAGATTGTACACAAAAAAAAAAAAGACAAAAAAGAAAACAAGATGATTAATTTTGTCCAAACATTTCTCAAGAGATTCATTTCAGCTCTTCATTATAGTTAATCATTTTCAATAGCAGTATTTCATTTTAAATGCAGATTTTGACTTTTTGTCTAATGCTTGGTACAAACACTGAGCTGAAATAGTACTCTGTACTACTGTGGTATACTTTTTTTTTTCCAAGTCTTTTTCCATGTTTTAAACCACATAAAAAGAACTTCTCTGATTCAGGGAACAAATAAGGAAGAAAGGCGAAAGATAAATGGAAAGGCAAATATCCACTTTTTAGTCTGGTGCATGAAAACCTGGCTATAGTGTAATCACAAGAGCCCAGAAACCCAGCAACACTGGTGTGCTCTCATCTTTTTAGGCTAGGTGTTTTGCCCAGCAGCTGCTCTTCTGCACTGTTATTACAATTGCCCTCTCTGCAAGTTTGCCTCAGTTTAAACAGCTGGTTTGCTCCTAAGTCTGATTTGCACTAACACATGTACAGATGGACAGGTCTTCTCCACAAACCAAAGAATGAGAAATGGGGGAATTTTGTAACCCCTCCAAGCAGCTCCCCCAAACCCAAACCTCAATCCCCAAATCAGTTTCCTTGTTTTACACTATGATAAATCTCTTCTTGAGAATGAAGAACAGGGTGTACGCAGTTACTACAGCTGCCAATTCCTATGGAAATTAATCCTGCCCAATCTGCAGACCCCCTTATCATCACTTTTAAAAGGGAAGGCATTTGGAATGCAGAATTTGGAATTTGTGTGTTGTCCATCACACATATGATTAAGGATTTCACAGCATCCTCTCTTGCTTCCAGAACATAGAACAGTGATATTAATCCCAGGGATCACGATTCTTAAGCTCTCAATTTGCTCTCTATATGTCAGGAAAAAGAAATAACTCTACCTCCTCCTGTGTAGGATGCATGTCCATGGACACTGAAAGGCAGCTGCACGGGGTAATGCAGCTGAAAGGAGACCACATCCTCTTCCTTTACTTAGGCAATACACAGGCAAGACATAAATCTTGACTTAAATTTTTCTTCTGGTATGCTCAGTAGACTTTAATTAGACTTATTTGTCTTAACTTTCAGAATTTACAGATTTTGTTGAACTAATCTGAGACAAAACAGAACAGTGCAACTTGGGCTTTGGTCCATCAAAAAAGAAACTTTCAGCCAAGGTCATTTCTTATTCTGCCTCTCTCAGACACCAAGCTAAAAAATATAGAGTGTAGGAATGAATGCTACAAAGGGGCTTTTTTTAGGGGAAAAAAAAGGCTATCATACATATTTAGAAACGTACACATTTCATTATGTGGTTTTGTTAGCAAAATTATAATTCTGTCATCTGACACTAACTGAAGTCTTACGATCCTCAGCTGGATTTCTGAACCAGCCTCAACAAACACTTAGTGACAGGTATTCAGAACTTAAAAACATAATGGGGAAGAACAAAGACCAACTCATCTTACCTCGGCAGAGTTGGCTGAATTCTGGGCACCAGCAAATCCATGTCCTCCAGCTGAATCAAAAATCTATTAAAAAAGCCACAGATAAATAAGTTAAACACACTACAATGTTGTTTCTTATCTTAGGTAGATTATAATGGCAAAGTGAAAGTGAATGCTAAATAAATAAAGATAAATCAAACTATAAAACTCAAACTATTTTCCATTTTTATCACTTTATTCTGACTAGAAAAGGTACTAAAGAAATATCAATTCTCCTTCTATAAACAAAATTGAAGGATACTCATATTGAAATAAATACACAAGCACTTATGCCCTGTTTCTTTTTCCCTTGATCTTACCTACTTGTTAGCAGAAACATAAAAGGCATTTACCTTCAAATCATGCATGTAGCTTCAATCTTGAATTCATATTATTAATTTCATAATTATTTAAAGGAACTCTTTCAAATTACTGTTGCAGTTCTCTGAAATTCCGTATGCTTTTTCTTCTTGTACCTGACTGGCTAGCTTCATACTAGTAATGAAAACTTCTAAATTAGCTTTCAGTTTTGAATGCACACATGACCCAGAACCAGCGCTAATAAGTAATGAAAAGAGCTTATTACTGGCTCTGCTTTAGAAGTTAAGAAATTAGACAAAGGCTTAAAGTTCCCCACCTGTTTAGATGGCAATATTACTAGCATCCCACAAAGATACTGGGATTATAAATGTTATTTAAAAAAAAAAAAGACTAAAGGTACAGTCAGATATTCTGGTGATAAGGGTTATATAAGCATGCAGATAGATCTACATGATCTCGAGATTTGAAAGTAATAATGCTATCCTCTTGAAACACAAATATGAAGAGCTTTTATTTCATCTTCCTCTGAGGTGAACAAACCAGGACAATATCAGATTTAAATTTGAACTTCTTGTTTAAGGCTTTCTTTTCCTTTTTAAAATTCTTTTTCATCATAGCATGAAACTTTGGATAATCCAAGAAAATAACAAACTCTCCTAATGCTCCACAGAAATGGTTTCTGACAATGTGAATAAAGGGCATTGTTTCTGAACTTATTTTTCCTCGTTTTACCCACAGATTCAGTCAAAATATTTTACTGCTTATTATTTTTCAAAACAGTTTATCATTTGGACTCAAGAAAGCACATAAGCATTTAAGAAACTAAGGATAATGTGAGCCTAGACATCCCCCATCTGCTACAGCTCAGTTTTATTAACTGGTTTCTATAAAGACCGAGCCGCTTCATTAATGTGTACAAAAAGCGTCCAGCATAGAAACTAGGGATCTTTATTTATTTTTATTAACAAAATATAATAGAGTTTAAAGTAAAATTTAAAATATATCTGACACAATGATGTTCCAGACTGTACCATCTGAAATTGTAGCTAGTGTAGATGAATACCACCATACACTATATCAACTTGAGATAAACTCTTAATTAAATCCACAAAGGCAAGATTTTTTACCTACTGTTTAAGACAGAAATCAGAGCAAACGGGCAGAGAATTAGGCTCCACTTTTTGCTTAACCCAATTTCCCAGTGGGTCAAAAGAGATCACAAGAAAGGTGGTCTCAGGCCCATTCTGATTTTGCTACACAAACAGTTATATGCATCTGAGCAACGATGTGGTTTTACTTTGCAACCCCTTTCTAGAGTGGGTCCGTATTTTAACCTATGCTCTTAAAAATTCTTCTCTTTTTATGAGTATGAGTCATAGCCCAAGCATTACTCATATGTAACACTCAGCATTTACATTTCCGTAATTTTATTGTAGGATGTTTGTAGGAAAAAATTGTAGGAAAAAATAAAAACCCGAGCTCACGGATGAAAACCAACACCTTTTGGGGCCAACTGACGGCAAGCTTTGGAAGAAACAGTGCAAACAAAATCCTTCTCCTGTTTTCCCTAGGCAGAGAGTAGGTCTCTGCAGCGGGGCACCTCTGCCTGTGCTCTGGTTTCCCTCTTCAGTCTGCCGAAAAACACTGGTGAGGACGGTGCCTTTCTCCTCTCCCTGCCATGGAAATAGATTTCCCTTTCTGGAAATATGATTTGCCTTTCACTGAGTAGTGCCACAGCATCCCTTCAGAGGACTCTTAAGGCATACAGGCGAAAACACCACGCACTTAACACAGCGAGAGGTATCAGCTCAGCTGGGAACCAGCCTCATCTGCCAGTGTACAGGGAAAAACACAGGAAAACTATCATTTAGGGAAAGCATCTGCCTCGCCTCCCTCTCATAAAGCAGAGTTGAATTTTTATTCTTATTCAGCCTCATCACATAAACACTTTTCTATTGATATATTATAGTGCATAAAAGCTACCCAAAGAACTTCATCTCAGCATGCAGATAAATATTTACCCATTTAAAATATAAACTGCTTGACCAGAGAACCCCCGATATGTTATTTTGCAACACTAAAGCTGTTGCATCAGCCTTGGACTATTGTGATGTGAATACAGATAGGCATGCACAAAATATTCCAAAAGCAGATTGCCATACATATGTAACAGTTACCAGTTTTTCACTGCTAAATGAGCATACTTTTTGATAAAAAAAAAAAATCAAAATATAAGACCTAGGAAAAATGTTATCTAATGAACAATGAACAAAATACTGCTTTGCAGTAGGTATTGTAGGCATGGCAAAAGCTAGTCAAGGGCACTCTGAGTACGATTACATGTGTACACCCTTCTGTGCAACAGCCATGGAAATGTCACTTCTCTTACTTTATGTATTTTATGGGAAAAGGCTGTTGACCTTCCTATTCCCCACATTTAGTTTAGTTTTTATTGGTGAAATAGACTCCTGAAGCATGGGATTTACACTGAATGTATGCACAGGCATCTTTGTCATGAGCAGAAAAAGATCCTGTGAGATGCTAGTGTATGCACTCCACGCCAGTCCTTCAGTGTGGGCATGCATGGGACTGTCTGGAGGTGCTGGCACAGCCTTTCTCTCCTTAGGCTCACGTGCTCCAACATTACAAACCTGTGCCAAACCTTTATGTGGTGCAAACTGACACAGCTTCATTAGCCACGTATCTAAACAACAAGAAAAATGGCCTTATATATGACAGCAGTCTTCTCCTTTTGACTAAAAAGTACTTCCAAGTATCATATGCTGCTTTGCACATGTCCCCTAAAAGGGCATGTCAAAAGGCTCATTGGTCTCTCCTCACTTTTAAAGTGACATAAGTTACTTTGCATTTAAATTGCAGAGTAGTTCAGAGTCCCAGTGGGAAGTCAGTACAACACTGCCTTAAGAGCTGTACATAGAAGGTGTCTCCTAAGAAACCCTACTCCCACATAATACGCAGTGTGACCAGAAGACAAGTTGTGTTACAGATTTAAACTGAAGATCTTGCACTGCTGGTAATCAGCTAGCCCATCTGGGTGCAAATCGCTCACTCACCACTTATTCATCACCAAGCAATCCAAAATTAGGTATATAGTAACCCCTCTTACAAAGTGGACACCCTCACTGTGAGACTGCCTTATCTACTGCAACTGCAATCACAGCCCTGGCGAACAGGCAACATCTGCTCCTCGTACCAACAGGGTCCCAGCCAGGCTCTCACAGAACAAGGCCCATTAAAAATAATCCTTCCAATGCTCTGGTGTCCTAGATCCCAGCGAATGCCACCCACCTGAGTTATGGAAGGTCGCTTTTCTTTTCCTCTTCTTGCCAATGTATCCAGTCCTTTCAGTGAAGAAAACAGACCCTTCTTACTTCGGACTCTTTGTGACAGAGACAGGGTCCGCTTCCTGAGGGCGGCTTCATCCCGGGAGCAGATCTATTTAAACATACAGACAGAGCTTCCCATATCACTTTTACAGGAGCAAAACAACCAGTTATTTCAATCTGAGGCATCAAATGAGAGTTACTTCAGTTCACCTCAATATACCAAGCCAAGATGTAGGCACAGTTCTTTAAACTTTCTGCCACTTCTTTTGGCATTCGGTTGGAGTTAAAATGTGCTTTATGTCATGGAGAAAAGTTAGAAAGTCACATGAAGAGAAGAATTGAGAAAATACTGCTCCGTGCAACAAAATAAGGTAATAAAAAGACTCTGAAAAAGAATGATAACCAATGATTTCAAGATGAAATTCCTGGAGGGAGGAAAGCTCTTAGAATTTCCAAACATCAGAGATAAACATGCTGCAGCATTATGTTATCAACCAGAAATGACACAAACCACGCAGATAAAAATAGAGGCAGAAAGAAACACATTCCTTGAATGGTCTTTCAGGGCTACCAGTCATTCTGACTTAGGCAGCATGTGTGATCTGGCCTTCTCTGCAAATACCAGCCTCACAGACCCTCTGAGGTTGAAAAGCAGAGGCACAACTGTTACTGCCATAGTTCACATGAAGACAACCCAGTGAGAATGGTTTACAGCAGCTGAAGGTCCTCCTCGTTACTCTTGGCAAATGCAGGCCACAGTTCTCAAAAGTGACTTATAGCGCTGGACTGCCTCCAGTTTTGGTCTATTCTAAAACCACTCGCTTCCAAACAGAGGATACCAAACTTCTTCCAAAACAATGAAACTTCTAGGATCTCCAAAAATGATCAACTCAACCCAGAGGGACCAGAATCAATTCTCAGCAATTTCAGCTTTAGGTTTGTTTTACTTTTAGTGATTAAGCTCCCATGCACTTTAACCTGTGAACTCGATGGGGGTGAAATGGAATGAAATACATTGACTTGTTTACATCTGAGAAGTACTCTGATTTGTCTCTTTTTTCAGATAGAAGTCAAAGTAGCCATTTCTGGCATCTCAGGGGAAAGAAGGGGGGGGGGAAGGGTCATGGCTGTATCCTCCTGGTCTCAAAGTCTGTCCCTACAGAAGAAAATTATTTGCAGCCAAGGAACAGTCAGAAGGGAGCAGGCTGTGTGGGTAGTGCATGTGTGGGTGCAATCATGTATTATCCTAACACAATTCTACATATAATACTAATGTCAGTTTTATGTTATATACCCATGAAAAGAGCATTCAGACTTACCAGTGCATGGAAGGATGAGACAGAGAAGATGCCAAGCCTCCCCAGGGCCAGTTTTGAAGGACGACTGGCAGCAGCCAAAAGGCTCTTTGGGTTTGGGAGCTCTCCACCTTGCAAACTCGCTAGGTAACATCGCATTCGGAAAAGATCCATATTAAATTTTTCCAGGTTCTGTTCCCATTGCTGGATCTGTTTAGACATAAAAAAGGGACAATTAAAAGAGGGGAAAAATGTCTCTGTGGGCTGCACTGAAAATCTGAGCTCTTCAACTAACCCATAGTAAATTACTTTCATCTGGTAGTATATGGATTAGATTAGTTACTCCTTGCCAAAACACATTCAGTCATATTGTGTTACAACAACTCAAAAGATGGCTTGAAATAAAACAAAGTTGGTGGTCTTAAATGCATACTGACAAGATGAACATACCATGAACTTTGGTTAGTTTGAAAGCCACAAATGCAGTTACATAAAAACATAACCCTGTGGTTCATAAAGGCTTTTTTTTTTTTTTCCTTTTTCATAGATTAGCTTTGTTTCCTTCAGTTTTATGAGCTTCAATTGTACAGCTGGCTGGTTGAAAGTATGCACAGCTCCACTAATCCTGTACATAAAGCAACAATCGTTACAGGTTCTGTTCATGTTTTAATGCTCTTCCTATGGCCTCTCTACCTGTAAACAGAAGACCATAGAAGCAACACTTGCATTTATGGTTCTTCATCTGTTTAATAGGTAAAATAAGGTTATGCTGAGGCAGGCTGAAAAATGAATTATGTTTGTCTGATACATACTACTGGACCCAAGCAAGAATGCATAAATATCCCTTACACAGTATTAGATATAGGTAACACTAATCTGTGTATATATCAGACACTTTAGACCAATTTTAATATAAAAGTAGGAAAATAAAGGGATGCAAATATACCTAGATGAGTTCAGTTCTGAATTAAGTCAGCAAGGATAAATTTTAAGTCATTGTTTGTGCACATAAACACATACTTTTACGTTCTGTACAGAAGTCACATTTCACTTTTCATTTCCCCATTCACAGATTGGTAGTTGCAGTTAAAAATCAGTGTACAGTGCACATTAATATTGATATTACAGATAAAAAGAAAAGGGCATCTGCATTCAATATATCAGACATATCCACATTTGAAGGCAGAAAAACAGTATGTCCATGTAGATGAGCTGAAGATTGTTAAAATCCCCTGACAGAGGTGTCCTTCAGATGTCAGCTCCCATTGCTGTGTTACCTTTTAATGGGAGGCTCAAGATGGCAGAGACATTTTTTTCCAGTGTGCACTGACTTCATACTTTTCATTGACACACGTTACTTGCCCCTGAGTGTACAGGACATTATTGATTTAGATTTAGAATCGTTATGGCTGGGACAAGCACCTTTACAAGTTAGAAAACAAGCTGATAAAAAAAAAACCATAAAAATCCAAGGTGAATGATATGACCTGCAGGCTTGTCTTGAAACAAAAGTTTCAGCTTTCTTATAGTGCTGCCAAAAAATCATAAGCATTAATCACACATCTTGCCTTGGCAGACTCTTCCAGAAAACCTTTTGGCTTCTTCTGCATACAGTTTTCTAGTAGTAAACTTTAGTAAGAGGCTTAAAAGAGGTTGCTCAATTTTGTTGTTGTTGTTTTAGGGCCCCTATTCCTCATTATATTGTGAGTGACAGAAACAGAAGCACAAACAAAATCATGATCCACTAAAAACACAGCAAGTTAGTGCTTTAAAATTCTTGTGATAAGCTTTTTTGGTTCTGTTTTAAACTACGCCTAGCTCTCTCAAAAGTTATTTTTCTCCCATCATTGCTAACCTGCAGGTATATTTTTGAGACAATTCTTCAATGCAGCTGATGGTCAGCTGTGCTGAAAATTTGGCTACACCTCACTTGCAGACACCTGCATGGGAGATCAGGAGTATTCCCACCAGCAGAAACACAACTCACAGGGCATAAACTGCCAAAGCTCGCGGGCATGAGACACCTGGCCTTCCAAACAAATCAATTTTAAAGAACTGTCATAGAAAGGGTAGGTTATATATCCCATATTGTGTTCTCTAAATGTTTACTTTAATTGTCAGGCTTCACTGCGCTGGAAAATGACCATGGTGATGGATTTTTTTTTTAATTCTTTTTCTTAGTATTATATTATTTTGTAAGTGGAGACAGTAAAGGAAGTCTCAGGGAGTGGGACTAGTGTTCACTAGCGGGTCTGTGTTCACGGGTGAGGCAATTTTTTAGTGTTACTTAGGCACTCAAAGCAGTTGAACAGCCTTTATTTCTAGGCTCAAGTCAATCCTTTATGCTTAGGCTCAAGTCTCCTACTTTCCCTAATGAAAAAGTAGAGCGATGCACGAGCGTAAAAGGCCTTGCTAACGAAATGGTGCTAAGGCTTGTCCTACAACTGCAGGAGACACTATCTGCTCTGGCTTCCATACACATGTACTCACAAGCTGTGGCATCAGTTACAAGCATGGCAAGAAGCAACCTTTTTGGCAGCATGGGTGAAAAACAGGGAAGGGAAGAAAATACACCATTTTTTCCAGCTGAGAGATTAGCATTTATATTATACTAATAGAAAAGGTAAAAAAAAATTCACGGAATATTCTAAAAATAAAAGATAGAGATTACAAACTTAACAATTCACAGAAGTCCACAGAGAAAGGATAGAAACAAACACCTAATAAAGATGTCCTCATCTAATCTCTCACCAGAGACACTAAAAACCTGCAGTCCCCAAAATAACTTTTTTTTTTTCCCATGGCTATTATTCTTTATTTTCTATTCTTTTCCTCTATTCTTTATTTTGTATTCTTTTTCTCTCAGGTACCCCAAGAGAATATTTTCCTGCTTTCCAGTTCCTTATTCATGGGACAGTTCCAACAAGAGGTTTGTCACTGTCTGATTCTCTGTGTGTTGACACCCAATTAGAACAAAATCATGTTGTCAGCTTTCCACACAGCCAAAAACTGCAGACTAATGGAAGAGTTACCCTTTGGGGTGACACCTCCATGGGTACAGAGCCCAATCCAATTCTGAACAGAACTAGACATGCTCTGGGTGCTGCTGGAGTAGGGCACCAGTTCCCCCTGGAAGCAAGCCAACCACAAGCTTTCATGTGTTTCTGGGGCCTTCCTCAAAATCCCAGTTAACATTTTTACTAAGACGTATGCTAAAATAAAAATAATCTAAGTGTGGGGAATGGGGCCCCAACATGGGGACATTCTAAAGAAATGATTAAATTACAGTGTTTAGTAGCCATACAGGAGGACAGCTAATCATCTCTAAAAGCAGCAATAATCATGATGCTACATTCAATGGCATTAGCAAAAGCTGTGGACAGGGAATTTCTAGGATTGTCTTGTAGTTTTATCAGAACCAGGAATATCTGGATCCAATTGGAGACCATGAACCAATACCAGCTGTTATTTGTCTAAACCTTTTAAATTATGATAATTCTTCCTAAGATTTATATTCACAAAGACTAAACGGGGGAAGCTCAGAACATAAAAAGCAACAACTTCAAAGTACAGTGCGACGCAGTCCATGAAGTTAATTTACAGCCTGCAGACTGGCTGCCACAGTACTTTTGCTGCTATTGTGTGAGGCGAATCTCTGACCCATGTGGGAGGCTGCCCGAAAGCTCAAGATTTAACTTCATCATGCATATACAAAATAACCTTCTTGAAATCTGTTCTAAAGCTAATGGAAAAGTGGATGCATAAGGTAGAATGAGAATGGGTGATAAAGGCTAGCAGCAATAATTAGTGGTCCCACAAATAAATAAGAGATATGGCCCAAAGCTGGTCACGCTAATCAGCACCCCTTAAAGACCTGCTTAATTATCACCTCCTGTACCTAGAAGAAAGAGGAAGATCACTAGACTGCCTGCCTGCATTGCAAGCTAGAACATCCCAAATTCTTTTTGCTCTAAAGTTTCAAGCACAGTTTAAAAGTCTCAATGAACATTTACAGAGAAGGTATTAAAGTAGGTCAGCAAAGAGGGATGATGTCATTTTTGGTACAGGCAAGTGTTGGGAAAGGATTGCTGGGTTTATTGGCAATGTGGAAAGTGTGGGAGAAGGACAAGAAGGAGGCACAAAAATTAATATATTTGTATTCATAGCATTCCTATAAGGTCAGGAGAAAAGAAGAGACTACAGTAGAGGGGTATAAAGACCTAAAAGGTAGGGAGCTCTAAGAATTAGGGCAGTGAATGATTTAGCTGGGGCTACCACAAGCAATCAAGACAAGAACATGTCATGTAGAGACAGGCTAGTAACTATGTGGAAGGTGGTAAGCGAAGGGCTTAATTTTTGCAATAGAAAATTAGTCCAAGAACGAAGTTTCAAAAGTTAATGATCAAAGGAACTACGACACAGTAAGGCGCAAGGAGTTGGCAGTAGAGCCAACTTTGAGCTCATAAGTTGTGAAAAATCAATTAAGACATTGAGAAACCATTGTAAAATAATTACATTTCAAATCTCATGAACAGAAGAGCTAAAGGACAATTCTAGAAAACTGGCCTTTACTAATTCAACAGCCCAGGGAAGCTTACTATAGCTTTACTCTAAAGTAGCAGGTTGGGGAAGGCAAATGGTCAACAGACAACAGAGATCAGCGTTTTCCTGCATGTGGCTGTAAATCCATTAAATACTTCTTAGGAGGTTACAAGAAATGATTAATGAAGCAGTTCCCATGTGTTGCACCATCCTCTCTGCATGCGAAACTTTCAATGGCATCTCCACCTGACCAAGCAAAGGTCCAGGGTTCACAGACTGCAAAAACAGGGCCCTGACACTGCCTAGTGAGGGCAAGGACAGTAGCTGGAGCCCTCGGGTGTCCAGTGGTGCCCCCGGCTTCTGACCCATCACATGCTATGCTCTAAACAGTTTCCCAAGAACTGCTCCTCCTGTGCCTTTTCTGTTGTTGTTTTGATTTTATTTTAAACAAGTTTTGCACAAAGTAGGAGCATTCAGTAAACTAAAACAAAATGCGAACGGCTGAAAAATGCATATGCGAATGGCTGAAAGCAGTACCAGAAGCGACATTGTATGAACTCAAAAAAATGGAATAACTTGAGGAAGTACAGGAAAAATTGCCCATTTTCCTTAAAAGAGAAGAGGTATGAAGGAAAATGCTTCCTGGGTAGCATATACGGGGGAAAAAA